ATAGGAAAAAAAAAAAAAAAAAAGTCTTTTTGGGACACCATGATGGAAGACATTGATTAGTTTCCATTCTAATTTGAGGGAACAAGTAACTGCTCCATATCATGCCTATGGGAAAGTTAAACCCATGTTAATCACCATGAACGTTTAATAGAATATTTGAAAAGTAGTTTATTATATTAAAAATGTGTAAATGTTGTTACTCTACATGCCTTAAGTAAGCTTTATTGTAAATTATTAATGTTGTATATGAAATATATATCATTTTTATTGTGATTTCATTATAACACTACTTAATGAAGTGGTTACAATATATATACACCAAATTTTGATAATTTTCCAACCTTCATTTGCATGCAATGCAATAAAATGATTCGATAAACGAAGAGGGGGAACCTTTCAATTATAGGCCCTACTAAGAAAGAAACCAGACATGGTGGACAAGTGTACGAACTGATCTTAAATTAGATACCAATTGCAGGTACCTGATGATAAACTTGACCAAAAGAAAATACAAGGTTAAAGAAAATGATACAACATGTACCTGAATCCTTTGGCAAAGTCAATTTATGAACTTTACTTGTCCACTTGTCCTTCTACCATTTTTAAGGTTGATTTGACTAAACTAAGGTATGGTAAGTACATCAACAAATGTAGAGTACAATTACACTTTGGTCAATCAAAAACAGACCCATTAATAATACAAGAAATATTAATTTTAAAATCCTTTTTATTTTTTATTTTTCTAATATATCGTATTCCACGTATGATTAAATTAAATGTTGTTAAAAATAAGAAGGATTTAAATTAATTTTATAAAATTATTTTTTAAGATGAAATTTGTATCTTATTTATATTATATAATTTTATTGTATTTTTAGTTGATATAAAATTTTGATATATATAAATATTGAGAATTTAAATGTGAGTTTAAAGTACTTATAAGTGAGAAAAACGTGTTTAAGATTTTTTTGTTACCGATAATATCATATTTTTTTATATAGTTAACTTGTATTTAATTAGTGAGAATCTTCTTATTATTAATCTCCGTACAAAATATCAAACATAAATATATAAAATCTAACCTATATCCTCGTACTTAGAAAATAGATTGATCTTATTTAATAATAGTTTATTATGTTAAAAATAAAAAAATTACTTAGTTTTAAAAAACTAAAATTATAAGATAAGCTTTATTTATTATATTTATAATCAAGGTACTACATCCAAAATTTAAAATTAAATAAAAAAAATAAAGTTTGTGAAAGTATAGGAATGAAACACATTTTCTTTCTTTTATATTTGATATACAAGGTCCTTTTATCTTTATGAAAGTTGATATAGGGTAGAAAAACAAATTAAGAGAGAGAGATAAAGTGAAGAACAATGGGAAGACAAGAATGAAAGAGGAGTCCATATCTGTCTAATGATAGTGTTGACCATTGAGTGCACTGAGCCAGACTCAAAGGGGAAGTGCAAATCTAAAGCATTTTTGTAGTGAAATTTTTGGTACTCATTCTTCTGAATGCATCTAAGCTTTTGGTTTAGTGGAAGATGCAATAGAAAGTACCATTCCTACTCATTAATTTCCACCATATGTTATGCATATTTCCCCACTTGCTTCAGTGCTTAAGACCAAGTTCTCATCATGATCTCCCTTAAATCAATCACTAAATTTCTGCCAATTTTATGGGAAATTAATCACTCATCTCACTAAATTCAAGACCCTAATAGTAGTCCCACACAAAATTAACAATGTCTTCTTTTATTTCATTAATCTCACTGCTAACTATATGAATATTTTAAAGCGTTTATTAATTAGGGTTAGCATCTTTCATTTTTATTATTTATTTTTTAAATTGTATGAAGAAGTGACACGTGTTACTGTTGATATCTACCTATTGGATAGTGAAGAACCGCTGAATGCCATTATAAACTCTTATAATAACCTTTTTCTCTCACCTTTAATCACGTTCAAATTTCATATATCCTTAAGCTTAATTTATTAATTAATTTGGGATTTGATAAGGAAAAGTGATGATTTTTTTAGATATATATAATGTATGTTAAAATATTATGTTATATAATTTCAACTTTTGTGAAACTCAATGGTATCATTCTATCCTGCTTTTATAAATACTAATAAATTTTATAAAAAAAAGGTAATGTTATTATATATTTAAAATTTCTTGTAATAGTTTTTTATTATTAATAGAAATTATCTTTTTGGAGATAAAGAATCATCACTTTCCAACATTTTGTAATTTGTATTAATATTTAAAATTTTGGTCTTTTTAAACTTAATTATTAAATATACTTGTTTGTATATTTATAAATTTAACCTTTTGTATTTTTTATATTTATTTATTATTTATCAATAATATATTATTTAATCCTTTAAATGATCAAATCTGTCACTGATCTTTATAAATATTCTTACAATTACAAATATGAGAATCTGTCTTCCAAGACATTTAGATGGACATTTCAAAAAGTCTAAGTAAAGAAGTGAATCAAAGGAAATATAATTTAATTAAATTGTTTTAGTAAAAAATGTGTGAAAGTTTTGAAGGTGATGACCCGATTTAATTAGTTGAGAATATAATGAGCATGTGGGTTGTGGAAAAACCATGAGAATATGCAAGAAAAGAGGAAAGAAAACACGAAACATAGGTAACTTTTTAGAAGCTAAAAGAGTGCTTGGGCATGATTCAATAAGCAAATTTGTGGCATACTTTTGGGGGTGGTGAGTAATGTTAGAAGAATAACCTTCTTCTTTTTACCCTGTGATTACTGTTGAAGTTGTTGTGATTAGCAGAGCCAAAAAAATACAAGTTGATTTGTACCAAGTACCTAACCCTACTAAGGAAAAGTGATGAACATTGCTCATCAAACATTTGGCTTCTATTTAATCCATACACATATAATTATTTTTGGAGGCCCCAGAATTAGTGGTTCTTGACTCATCAAAATATTGTTAATTCCTTTTCTTTCTTTCTTCATCTCCTAGTATCCAATTTGGCAAGTCGTGAATTTAGAAATGGAGTTTCCTTTATGGAAATGAATTTTAAATGTGGGTCACCATGTGAATTAAAGAAATCTCTAGAAATAGTGCCAAAAAGTAAAATAGGACGTTTAACAGCAAGATTTTTATTTTTTTATTTTTTTAACAATGTCTCTTATAAATGTATATATATGTGTTTTATGATTTCAACTTAATTATAATTTTTAATTTTTTCCTTGATTAAGAATAATTAAGATAAATTATGTAACCTTAATTAAAAAGATTCTCAGAGCTAATTAGATTTTAACTAAAATTAAATGACATTAAACTAAATAAATAATAGATATATACGATTATTATATTCCAAGAATTGAGGTAGGTAATACAATTTTTTTTTCTGATAATAACATGTTTAATTTATTTTTATTTTTTAATTTTAATTTTTTTTAATAATGAATTCTAAACAATTATTTTTTTAATAAATTAAAATTTAGTTTTATAATTTTAGTTTTAAAATTGTGTTAAATGAACAAAAAGATACAAGTAACAATGAGAGGTGAAAATTAGAAAATAATATGTAAACGAAGACGTAAATAATATAAATTAAATTTATTTTTACTTTATACAATTAAAAAAATTGCAAATTATTTTGGCAAAATAATTATTAATTTTTTTAATTAAGGAAACCGTTTTTAAAAATAACAAACAAATCAATGTGCTGTTTTTTTAGTTTTCTTTTCTTGTGTTTCTACCATTTTTCTAATTAAATCATAATGTTAAGTCTATAATTACATAAAGAATATTGAGATTAAAGATGAATATAAATGATTAAAAATTCTCTTCTCTAATTAAAGTGAAGAATTCACTTTAAAAAGCATAGTAACAAATTTTAGATGTTGGTAAAAAAAAAAGTGATATATGTATAACACATAATAAATCATAAACACATTAAAATATGAAGGTTTATATATATATATATATATATATATATATATATATATATATATATATATATATATTTATTTTTTTTTCCTTTGTGGTGATGATGAAAGACCATTTTCCCCTTCTATTATGTGTGAATTTTAATTTTTCCCAGTGAAATCAAGTTATAAGTTTAACCATGGGTAATAAAAAAACATGGTGTTGGGTTAAGGTTTGTGATTTGTTGGTTAATTATAGTCGATGGAAGTCACCTTCAAGAATTGTCTTTCTCAGTCTCGTTTTTCCACACCCTTTCTAACGTCATTTAATTAGAGAATTATACGATCCATCATGGAATGAGTTTGGAATTAAATAACATAAGTGACTTATTTAACTAAAAAAACTCTCCTGTTCTTGCTTTCACCAAACAGTCCTCCAATAGAGTTATTTAATTATATACTTCCCATGATTTGAAATTTCCCTGTCTCTCTTATGTAAGCATATTTTTCTGCAAAATGATTATATCCACAAACCCAACTTGCTTTCACCCCTTTGGGCCACTTATGTGCATCATGCCATTCTTCCATACCATGTCACATATATATCACATGTCATCCACATACATCATATATAGACATCATCTGCATGGTGATAATTTCATGCTTTTTAGTGTTTTCTGATAAGAATTATGGTCTTATATTTAGCAGAAGTCTATGTTATAAGTCAGCATATATGTTACCAAAAAAAACATCACTGAAAACATTTGATAAGAAAAATATGCTTATCTTTCTAATATATATATTGATGGGAGAACCTGTGCATGATGATGCAGTTAACATTGAACTAAGGAGAATGCATGGCAATTCCATTGCATCAATTAATGTAAGAAGCATTGAAGCTTCAACACTGTTACTATACTGTGATGAAGTGGGGTCACTTCATCTTTATCTCTCCCTATAAAATACCTACTCTTCCCACTCTTTCTTCCTCCTTCTCAAAACAAATTGAACTCTCTCCATCACTCACCATTCTGCCTTCCTCCAACAAGGCTCTGCAATCTGTTTGCTAAACCAAAACCATGCAAACCAGGGAAGTCTCAGCCCTCAATTATTTACTCCCTTCAAACCCTTGTCCCTACCCTCCTAACAACTTCAACATGATCCAAAACAACATTCCCACATTTCAGTTCCAAAGATTCTCTAACCAATTATATGGCCACAGCCACAACACTCCCTATGATTTCAGTCCTCAATCGTCATGCATCAGCAGCAACTCCACTTCTGATGAGGCAGATGAGCAACAACTGAGTCTCATCAACGAGAGGAAGCACAGGAGGATGATATCAAACCGAGAATCAGCACGGAGGTCACGGATGAGGAAGCAGAAGCACCTTGATGAGCTTTGGTCACAAGTGGTGTGGCTCAGAAACGAGAACCACCAACTCATAGACAAGCTGAACCATGTCTCAGAGAGCCATGACCAAGTGCTCCAAGAGAATGCTCAGCTGAAAGAGGAAGCCTCAGAACTTCGCCAAATGATTAGGGACATGCAGATACACAGCCCTTGCCCCTCCTTCACCCCTTTCGAAGATGATGTCCCTTGCAGCTCAGCATATCTCAGATCCGATTCTTCAAACCAATCCAACTCATGTAACAACATGGACCTCCTTGGCTGAATTTCAAGACAAGGGGTCCAAATTTTTATCATCTCCTTATCTAATCTTCTTTTACTTTTGTTTCTTCTTTCTATGTCTGTGTGGAAGTCAAAAAACAATAGTCTTTTCCTCCCTTTTGCACTGTGTGAGGAGAAAAGATAAATGGCAATAACATCTAGTCTTGATGAGTATATCTTTAATTTGACCCTTTTAATTAATTCATTAACTTTGCCACACACAAGGTGTGTGTATAGTGTATATATATGTTCTGTGCAAAGTTTTAAATTGAGTCATGGTCCTAATTTCGTTGCGATTACAAACAAATGTGAATGATGCAGTCACAAAGAGTAAAAAAATCTTGAAGTTAGAAGTCAAAATTGTTCTTTTTTTTTTAATGTTAGTCTTGTGTTCTTATGAAACACTGCAAAAGGTTGCAGAGTTACCTCTATGACATTGCAGCTAAAATCAGAGTCACAATTCCATTTTTTGAAAAACAATTGGTCTTTGTCATCTTGTGGCAGGAATGTTTTAAGATGTAGAAGAGTTATCTATAAATCTGGTGGATTAATTGATAGTTAAAACTTGTTGGACACTTAGTTAGGAGAGTCAGAAACATCATGATGATTAATTCCATCCCAGAAAACAAAATAAAAAGCCTATGACTTCACCATGTTCTAGTAATATCCACATAACTGTGGACTAATAAAAGAATTAAGAAGAAGGTAATGTAATGAAGAAGATATGAAGCAAAAAGAAAAGTATAATGTGTGTAGGACATTATATGATTTGTGTGAAAATAATGGAGGTAATTATGTCAGGTGGAATTGGGATGAGAGAGTAGGACATGACACACAAATAAAAGGGTGTCTGTAGTGGTCATTGGCTGATGATAGAAAAGTTGCCATAAAAAGGAGAACATTTGGACAGGGCACCCATTAAAATTGTTATCACTATTTTATCTCTTTTTCAGAGCTACCTTGACTGCATATTATTGGAAAATAACTTAAACTTTTGCTTATTTACTTTCCCAAGTTTTGATAGGGATCAAACACAACTTGTGCACTAGCCATTGTCACTCATCATGCACCTTTTCTATGTAATGATATGTCTCCTGATGAAAACAAAATCCTTACAAATATAACTATATATATTCTAATAAAAAATCGTAGACTTAATTATAATTTTTTTTTTATATTTTACAAAATTTGTCCGGCATAATTTTTAGTCTCTTTATTTGAAAAAAATTATTTGATTTTTTATTTTAAGTAATTTTTTCCTTTTATATTAAAATTTTTATTTTGGTTTGTTTTGATTTTTAAAGATAGTTGTACCGAAATTGAATAGAAAAAATTGATTGAAGAAAAATAATAATGACAATATCTACAAAAACATAATTAATTTACTGAATATTATTTTGTACATTTTAATGAATTTAAATATATTTTTTTAAATATTAACCAAACACGCTTATACTGATTTTTTTAAAACTTAAAATTTAATAAAATAATAAATAATTAAAAAAAAAATTCAAGGACGAGAGGTACAAAGTAAAATTTATGAACTAAATCATCTTAACTCAATATCATGAAAACTACTATTTTAAATATATAATAATAATAAATATAGATTTTATTTTTCTTGAACAAATATTTTTTTTATCAACTATAAAAAAATGATTCGCATGTAGTCGGTTTACTGATAAATAGTTTTCTCTGCGAATAAGTTTAGACACATGAAATGTTGAAGAATTAAAAAAAAATAGTGAAAATTTAATTAGTTCATGAATAGAACACAAGAAAATAGCAGTTAATTATAAATAATTATTCAAAAATAATGTTGATATTATTATTAAAAATGTGAAAATAAGTATAATTTAATAAATTGTCATGAAACATTCCAAAAATAAGGTTAGGTTATGAAAAAAAATTATGATGTAAGTTGAATATTTTTTAATCTAGTGACTTATATGTGCTTAGTTATGTTAATTTATAAACTTATGTCTTAGTCCATTTCAATAAATAATAACTCTGTTTTATTTTATATATATTATAAATCAATTTAATAAGGAATTAACTTATTAAAATAAATAAGAGAGTAAGTTTTTAGTAATCTTTTATTTTAAAATCTAATGATTTAGATTAATTATTATTTTATATTAATAAATTATTAAAATAAGAATGATGACAATAAATAATAAATTTTTAACTTTCGTTAATGTATTATTTTTTATAATTATATATTAAATCATTATATTTTAAATAAAAATTAATTTTATTAATATAATTTAAATTTTAATAATATATATATTTTTTTATTTAAATAATTTTTAATTAATTATTTTAATATAAACACGTTAATAACTTTTTTTTATATTTTTAACCAGACCAAATTTTATCCATTAACCTATTGACCTACTATAAAATCAAATTACATTAAGAATTACAATTCAATTCTTAAATATAGCTCAAATTAGACCTATTAATTTTTATTTATCAAATAAAATTTTGTCTATTAATCTTTTGATCTAATATAGGATCAAATATTACAACTCATTTTTAAATATAGTTTAGATTAGTCCAATTAATTTTTATTTGACATATTATTGGGTTACGCCATTTAACAACTCTCAAGATTATTAATTAAATAACTTATTTTATATACATTCTTTAATTTAATTAAATTAAAGTGATATTATCGAATTTAATCCTTATTTTAAAAAAATGGGATGATACTAATCTTGTTCATATGAAGTTGAAATTGGAGAAGACTATGTGTTATATTACAAAGAATAAAAATAGAAACTGATGGAGATTGAGAAGGAGGATTTTGGGCCTAAATATGATATTTAAAAGTCTAATTATGTTTGGACTGCAATTTCAATTTTGGGCTCACATTTTTTTTCTAATCCGAATCAAAATTTTGATTGAGTCATTTAATTTAATTTAAGTATAAATTTCAAATAATTGAAATAAAATAGACAAATTACATCTATCATTCAATATATCAATTTTATTATTATATAAATATAATCATAAAATAAAAATATTATAAAATTATATTTTGTAAATAGATATTTTATAATTAATAACTTTATCATAAGTACAATATCGTGTTATAAAAAATGTTCTTTATTAAATAATTCTTTGTTATTAATGTAAAACAGTTAAAAAATTATATTATTATTTTATGATAAAACTAAATTGGAATGATCCGAAACACAATTTAAATATATCCTAAAAAATATATTATATTAATTTTAAATTCAAATCAATTTCAAACCAGAAACATGAATTGGATTGGATCATACTTATTACTATTTTTAATAAACAATCTTTTGTATACATAAATAGAATTTAAAACCTAATCATACATTGTACTAGTGATGGAGTTAATTTTCAACATTAACATTAGTTAGGTACAAATAGTTGACCATAAATGGGTATTTGATTTGATTAAAAAAAACGTGTATTTTTTTTATTTTTTATTTCATTTTTTATTTTCAGTTTAAAAAGCACTTAGGTTTTCTCCTATTGAGTTAAAAACTTTTTAAGCTATGCTTATTGGAATTGTGCCTAACCAATACACTAACAATCTTAATAATTAAGAAATTGATTATACTCTTATGAAAGTAAAATTTCTGTTAAATGACCATAAAAAAAGAAATTGGTGAAGTAAAAAGTTTGTTTATTTTTGTACAATATTATCACACTTCAGTCTCTTTTCAGGAAAACATTAAATTGTAAAACATTTCACAAACACAGAAATTAAAGTAAAAAAAATGTAAAAGCATACTACAAATATAAGAGTTGAAAACAAACCATGATTTGCACAGAGCCCAAGAAAGAAGAGAAAAAAAGGTGGAAACAAGAAAAAAAAAATGTTTCATAGAAATGAAGGGAGGAAAAAGGAAAACTTGAGAGATGGAACCCAGATTTGTCACAGGATTCATACAGGTTGAGAATCATCACTAGCCTACCTGTTCTCGTTCACACACACTTCACCATCTCACAACTTCACACTCTGCATTCATTGCATAATCTCTATCTATCACTTCAACACCACCACCTTCTTGTCCCATTCGTCATCCTCCAATTAATTTTGTGCAACCACCATGCCAACTCCACTCTCCAATTCCCACCTTTCAATTTAAAATTAACAACAATCAAAACACACACCCCAGATTCTTCCAATTCTTGGATCTGACTTCCTCAGTTCAAGATCCAATGGCGGTTGCTACCAGAGGAGCCAGAGGTGGATCTACTTTTCGTGGCCTCTTCTCCTTCCGGATCTTCATCTCTGCCATGTTCTCTCTTCTCTTCGTCGCCACCCTTTCGGTGCTCTTCACCACCAACCCTTCCACATCCAACGATGAATCTGTAAGTTACTCTATTTTTGTTTGTCTTGTACTTTTCATTTGCCCTTTTGTGTTTTCGTGCCAAATTTTCGATTTTGATTGAAACACGTTTTTTATTTGCGAAATTGGAGACGGCCCATTGTTGTAGATTCAGATTATAGCATAACCCACATGAAAAGGTTTTAATTTGTTGTTAGAGTCGAGATTGTTATTGATCCTTGATATGTCGGGAAATTGTAATGAGACTAAAAAGCTTGATGCTGTGGCCAAAATCATGGTCACGGACCGTTTTTGAAAACCATGCCACGTGATGGTTTGACAAAATTGAACAGCCCCATGTAATGGTTTAGGTGTTTTTTGTTCACAGGATCTTCCCACCACTGGTAATGCATATGTGCATCGAACTTTTTTGGCATTGAAATCTGACCCTCTTAGGACCCGAGTGGATTTGATACACCAGCAAGCTAAAGATCACATAGCTCTAGTGAATGCTTATGGTGCTTATGCTAGGAAGCTCAAGCTTGACATTTCTAAGCAATTGAAGACTTTCGATGAGTTGGCGCGCAATTTTTCGGATATTGCTTCGAAGCCAGCTTACAAAAAGTCCCTGTTTGAGTCAGATGGTCCAATTGATGAGGATGTGCTGAGGCAGTTTGAGAAGGAGGTTAAGGATAGAGTGAAGATTGCAAGGATGATCATTGTTGAGGCTAAAGAGAATTATGATAATCAGTTGAAGATCCAGAAGTTGAAGGATACAATATTTGCAGTTCATGAGTCACTTGCAAAGGCGAAGAAGAATGGGGCGATGGCAAGCTTGATTTCAGCCAGATCGATTCCCAAGAGCTTGCACTGTTTGGCTATGAGGCTGATGGGTGAGAAGATTTCAGATCCTGAGAAATATAGAGATGAGGAGCCCAAGCCAGAGTTTGAAGATCCCACTTTGTATCATTATGCAATATTCTCGGACAATGTAATAGCTGTGTCTGTGGTGGTGAGATCTGTTGTGAAGAACGCAGAGGAACCATGGAAGCATGTTTTTCACATTGTTGCAAATAGGATGAATGTTGGGGCAATGAAGGTTTGGTTTAAGATGAGGCCTATTGAAGGGGGTGCATTTTTGGAGGTGAAAGCGGTAGAAGAATTCACATTCTTAAATTCATCCTATGTTCCTATCTTGAGGCAACTTGAGTGGGCAAAAATGAATCAGCGGCCTGAAAGTGCCACAAATGATGCAAACATTAAAAATGCCAAGTCCCTGTCCATGTTGGATCACCTTCGATTTTATTTGCCAGAGATGTACCCTAAATTGTATAAGATCTTGCTTTTGGATGATGATGTTGTGGTTCAGAAAGACTTGACAGGTTTATGGAAAATTGATTTCGATGGAAAGGTGAATGGTGCTGTTGAGATCTGTTTTGGTTCTTTCCACCGATATGCCCATTACATGAATTTCTCTCATCCTTTGATCAAGGAGAGCTTCAATCCGAAAGCTTGTGCTTGGGCCTATGGCATGAATCTATTTAATCTCGATGCTTGGAGGCGAGAAAAATGTACAGATAACTACCATTATTGGCAGAACATGGTAAACTTCTTATTATTATTTTTTCTGTGCTAATGATTATGTACTAATTTTACATGATCAAAAAGTTCTAGCAGGACAAAAAGAATAAGTAAAATCAATTAAGTTTCTTTCATCATTAAATATTAGTTTATGTGCATAAAGCTTATCTATAAAAGTTTTCGTTTTTAAATCCTCCAAAAGCTTATTTTAGCTTTAGTATAAATCTTATTCATTTTGTCTTCTTATTTTCTTCTATCAGTACTTATTGTTATAGGGCCTGTGAAACTATTTTGCTAGAATAGTTTTCTTGAATAATGCTCAAGCTATTCTTTTGTACTGTTGCTAAATGCATTATTCTGTTATCAGAATGAAGACCAAACTTTGTGGAAAGCGGGAACCCTGCCACCGGGTTTGATCACCTTCTACTCCACAACCAAGTCATTGGACAAATCCTGGCACGTGCTTGGGCTAGGGTACAACCCCAGCATTAGCATGGTTGAGATCAACAATGCTGCAGTCATTCATTACAATGGAAACATGAAACCCTGGCTTGATATTGCTTTGAATCAATACAAAAATCTCTGGACCAAATACGTGGACAATGATATGGAGTTTGTGCAGATGTGCAATTTTGGCCTATAGTTGAGATCAACACACAATTGCTCATCATGATAAAAGCTTGAGATAACATGTCAAATGTGGTTTACCATATTCTTTTGAATCTAAGAATCTGATGTTAAATGTAGCCTGTCACAGAGAATTTCTGTGTTGTCATCTAGTAAAATATCAAGTTCATATACTAGGCAATAATTTTGATAGACTGTATTTGGAAATTTACACGAAGTAGTTTTTGTTTTTTCTCCTTCAGTGTTATGGAGCATATTTATCATGTATTGCTGATGATGGTAGTGACATGACTCTAATTAACGAGAAGTCACTACTTTTTATCTATTAAACACACCTCCTACATGTTATTTTTGGAGGTTTCTGGACATGCCTCTTTGTATTTTCAATACTGATATATATCATAGGCAAAAGCCATGTGGTAAAGAGATTTTTCAGGGATTTGGTTCACTTGAAGTAAGCACCATGCATTTTGAACCGGGGGATGCTTCAATTTTTTACAAAACTGAGATAGTTTTTTCTGGCATAGTTTTCTGCTAAGTACTCTATTTGTGGAATAAATCATCTGTGGATCTTTACAGAGATTGGATAATTCATTTTATAGGAATTTCTTAGATGGATGGATGTGTGGAGGGATTGAGGGGGTCTTCTAATTTGATGCATACCTTTCCTATTTTCTTCAGTTAATCTACTTGATTTGATGTGTTGGAATATCTTTTGATTCATAATAGATTCTTCCTCTTTCAGTGAACAAGATATCACCATGCTTTGTTTTGTTTGGATGTAAAATGCTGTCAATGCAGCTTTTACACCCAAAAGTATGCATAAAATGATTCAATAAAGAACGTCCTTACATGAGACAACTGTCTCAACTTTCAAGTGATGATGATAGAGGTTGTACAAGTTGAACAAGTATTAGGTGTGTGTGTGGATGAGCTTTTTCATTAAGTCATTTTAGAGGAAAAAACAATTATTTTAAGTGATTTGTGATAGACTTCAATAAAATATTTTAGTATATGATAAGTAGGAGATTAATTAATTTTATCACTTCAATATTAATATATATTCATCTTGTTTATTATTATTTTTTCATCTTTCCCTTTTTTTAATTTTAATTACTCTTGTCTATTATCTCACTTCTAATCAAAATATATATTTTCAAAAAAAAAATATGATTATATCTAAGACCATGATAGCTAACATACCATGCAAGAAAATTAAACTCCAAAACATTTCAGTACCTAGAAAACTTCGATTTCAACAAAGCATAGGAGAAGAAGACAAAAGAAAAAGGGTCAAAAGAAAAAAAAATTAGCTTATAGCGTTACGTTTCAACAAAAAAGTACACTAAAACCAACGTTCTTGAACTTGTGTTTATAGGCTAAGGAAAAAAGCTAAAACCCTTATAGACGCACTTAAGGGCTTTTCTCTGTTTAATTTATATTTTTATAAAATATATAATAAAAAATGAGATTAATTAAAGATGATAACCAACAAAATTTTTGTAACATATTAAAAAAATTAACCAATTTATTTGATTAAAAATATGAAACTTGCGGGTTAATTTAATCATAAATACTTAATCCATAAATAAAAACTAAAATGATAAAAATTAAAAAATAAAAAATATTTTTTTCCCTTGGAATATCATAAAACTTGATTTTAATGACTTCTTATAAAAATTTATTACGATTTTAGTCACTGAAATTAATGATTCGATTTTAATTTTAAAATTAAAAATACACATTTCCATACCATAAGGAAAAACATGTTAAAATTTTATAGCAACCAAAATCTTATTTCAACATAAATTTTGTATCTTGCCCTTTTCCATGGTGACCCTCGACCTTGTACTTCCATATTTCTTTCCAAGTATTCTCACTTTTGAGTTCATGATTTTCCATTTTAAAGTTCAACAACTTTTTGGCCTCAACATTCTAGTAACACATTCATAGTATGTAGTACAAGGTGTAATACAAAATCACATATGAGTTGTGTTTTCTTGTCTTAACAAAGATGAATGTTGCTTGGGACACCCTCATAACACAAGCATTATAAGATGATTTTGGATAATTGTTTCTTCTCCCTCTTATTCCCTAGAGCTGTAGATAGATATATATGATGCTTTTGGAACATTTGAGTGTATAATGTGAGGTTTCAGCTTCACTTTTACCTCAGAAGATTGTGGAAGTTCGGTCAGAAACCAGATTTGGAATAGTGAATAACCATATTACCCTTGCAGTATGCAGGAATTGATCATGACAAAGACTCTCCCATGTGAATGTGATTTTGAATTTGACAGTGACAGATATATATAATATTTTAGGTTCATGCAATTTTTTCTGCAAAATAATTGGCTTGTTTCAAAGGTAATTAGGTAATGGAAAGGGAATATCGCTCAGGGAAATGTACTTTGAAAGCCAGGGAGAAAAGGATGGATCATGGAATGTAACCATATTTTATCCACATAGTTGGAAAAAAAATCTTGTGATATGGATCTTGCTAATTATTATGTTTTTAGCTTAAGCTTCATGTTTGAGTTTTCATTTAGTAAAAATTAGGTTATTTTGCAAAAGACAAATAGATTTATTTTCTGATAAGAAAATTAAACAATATTTTAAAAACCCTTAAAGACATGAATTCAAGGATTATTCATATCCAATTAGGTTTAACTAAATAATATTTTTATAATATAATAAATATATAATAAGTTTATTAATAATAATATTTTAAAATAATAATAATAATAGAGATTATTATCAATGATCATGGATCTGCATAAAGAAAATCACTTGTCATTTATTGGTTATTGGGGACATCTCGAAAACGTCCTATCGAAATATGACTTTCAAATTAAGCTCTAAATCAAGTAAATGCTATTAAAAATAGTGGAAATGTCATGTACAAAAAGGAAGAGACTCATTGAATGATCGAGGTAAATAAAACTTTTACATATTTTTATTAATACATAAACAGATTTATACGGACACTGCCGACCTATAATCCTAAGTTACAATGAAGATTATGTAAATATAAAATATATTAAAGAGAATAAGATAAATAATTGTCAAAATAAAATAAAAATACGGAAAAATAACTATTATTTAAAATTTACTTAATTAATGAGTTAAAAAAAGAAAAAAAAATCTAAAATATATTATATCTTTTATAAAAAAATTATATTAAAAAAAATTATCATAATTTTGTTTTTATCAAAATTGATTGAACCCTATAAATTCAACTTAATTAAAATTCAATTATTTAGTGATTTTTAGAAGAATTTTCGGTTAGATTGATTGAAATCCGACTTATCCAATTTTTAAAACAGTGAAATTAAAATAAATACCTCGGACTCTCTTATAAATTTTTTTAATTAAAAAAAGTCTATTAAATAATTTCTTAAAAAAACCTTTAATAATATTAACTTTAATTTCTAAATTACAAATATTTTGTATGTACCATAATAACACAAATATATATTGAAACTAAATCCATGAAATATTGGGGAAGAAAAAGAGATGTAGTGAGGTAGTTAGTATGGATAAGAAATACACGTATATAGTTCTTGAAGGGCAAGTAGAAGTCCTTGTCAAAGATGGAGCAACATGAAGTAAAACAAGAAAAAATTATCCATACAATTAAGTAATCTTAAGAGTTTGCATAAGAACTCTGGACCCATGTTTTACCTTTTCCATTTCTTCTAATTGATGCAATTAATCTTCATTCATAGTGTCTATAGAGATGCAACCAACTTTTTAACAAGAACTACTTATTAACAACAACAGTCTTCAAAGTACTGCAAATTCATTGCAATTATCATCATTGATCAGTAACTTGGGCAGGTTAAAAGTTAATGAAAGAGGATTAGAAAGGAAAAGTTTTTGTACTTCACAGCTCAAAGCTGCCATCAAACCATGTAACTGTGACTATGAAAAGAAGAAGAAAAGAAAAAAAAAATGGCATTGCTTTGTTGGGAGGTGTACATTGTTTGCTTGAGAAGTATGCCAATGAGTGGTTAGGCCCCCCTAATAAAACTCATGCAAAGAATGTAAGTTACACACAACTACAAAACAATTTGAAAAATTAGCAAACATTTTTGCCATAATATTATTAAAATCACTATATATATCTCTTCTCTTCTCCTTAGTCTCAACACACGTGAATTTGAAGTTTAAAAACTACAGTGAGAAAAGAGAGAGAGAGAGAGAGTATTATGTGAAGTGGAAGCAAAATAGTTTCTGTTCCATACAATAAAAGACTATGATTACCTTGTGAGTGAAGTAAAATGAAAAAGACAAGAATTGAGTCAAAGACAAGAAGACCAACCATTTTTGTTTCTCTGCATCACTCTCTCTCTCTCTCTCTCTCTCTCTTTCTCTTGGCTAAGGAGGTCCCCCTCCAATCCGTTTTCCACTCTACCTATCAACCAACAAACAAACACAATCCCATTTCTCTCTATCTCTCTTTCTTCTCTCTCTGCCCTCATATTCATATTTTAAGCAAACCCTTCAACCATCATCATCATCATCATTATTTACCATTCCCACCCCATGAAGCCTTCTCTCTGTCCCTCAAAACCATCATTCACCTATATAGCTTTCTCATAGATCTCCATCACAACCCACTTCATAAGGCCTCAAGGGCATCACATATCTCACATACCCCTCCCTCACACCCCATTATCACCACTTTCTGGCAAATGAGGAAACCTGATATGATGGGAAAAGACAACACCACCATCACCACCGCCACCATTAACACCAACAACAGCATTAAGAGCAAGCTAAGGAAGGGGTTGTGGTCACCTGAGGAAGATGAGAAGCTGATAAGGTACATGATCACTAAGGGACAAGGGTGTTGGAGTGACATTGCTAGGAATGCTGGCCTTCAAAGGTGTGGCAAAAGTTGTCGTCTTCGTTGGATCAACTACTTGAGACCTGATCTTAAACGTGGTGCATTTTCACCCCAAGAGGAAGAGCTCATCATTCACTTGCACTCCATTCTTGGCAACAGGTACCAACTCTTAGTACTCATAATTTCCTTTCTCTTTCTTACTTCATTTCCTTCCTTTCGTTAAATGCTAACTTTCTTATATCAAAATCCTTATCCTTCTTTGCATTCTTATTCTTTGGACAAGTTTATGCTTTGAAGAGATTAAACATTTTTTTGTTATCAACATCAATAATAATGGGTAACAAAAATGGCATTGATAAAGAAGATTTTTTAAGAAATTGACTGAATATAGGGTTTATATAAAATTAGAACATTTATAAGGACATAAAATGACGTAGCCTAAAAGCATGTCAGGGGTTTTGCCTTAACTATCATGGCTTATCTTTCTTCTTAAGAATGGTCTGACCCATAATAATACATTTGACTATTCACTACAAATCTTTGAAAATCTCTTCCAAACCTTCAATTATTAAATATTATAGAGCCTTCTTCTCTTCCACCATCATGTTGATAACAAATGTTTTTCATAACAACTTTCATTTTCTAAATTTATTGAAGCTCACAAGATGACGTAGATATCACTCTTTATTTAATAAGCCTCACGCACTCTGAAGTATCATTGCTTCAATATTTTTGACCAATTAGACTATGTGTGACATGAGACATCATGATTATAATTAGGTTCACCATATTTACTATTAAATTACCTTTTTCAAAAAAAAAAAAAATGATACAGTTAAAATCATAGATTTTACCCTTTTCATTTTCTCATTTTTGTTTCCCTTCTAAATCAAGCTTATTCATACAGTCTTACTTGTGAGATGTGATGTTAGCTTATTAATTTTTTTTAGTTTAAACTTCTTATAAAATATCTGTATAAAGATTTTTATATTATCAATTAATAAAAATTTATAATTTATAATTTATAATTTTTGAAATAATTAATGTAAAAAATAATAATTTCATCTACATTATCTATATATATATATATATATATATATATATATATATATATATATATATATATAACATCACATTAATGGCTTTGGAAGTGTATATAAATTAAATTTTTACAAACCCTAATGTTATGTTCCAAAATTTATGTGCTTTAAAAATTAAATTATCATACTATAATCTTTAATTTTTGAAAATTACCATATTCTGTAGCTGTATTTGTAAAAGTTACACATACAATTTCCTCAATATTCACAAACTTCTACTGTTTAATAAAGAACAATTATTGAAATGTAGCTTGATTATTGGCTTTTTGTTTTGATCTTATTTTAACCATTTTGTGAATCTCAGATGGTCTCAGATTGCTGCACGTCTTCCTGGTCGCACAGACAATGAGATCAAGAATTTCTGGAACTCAACACTGAAGAAAAGGTTGAAAATCAGCAGCAACAACAACACTTCATCACCAAACAACAGTGACTCATCAGACCCTAGAGATGTCATGGGGGGAATCATGCCAATGAATGAGCATGACCTCATGACCATGTGCATGGACTCCTCCTCATCAACATCATCATCATCCATGCAATCCATGCATGCCAACATGGCCCTAACTGACCAGTTTGACCCCTTTCCCCTGTTGTCCAACCGTTATGACATGACCGGTGCAGCCGGTTTCCTAGACAACAACATGGCTGCATGCTTAAACCATAATGATGATGGGGTTGTTCATGGTGGTTATGGGGCATTGGACCCTAATAAAATGGGGTTAGAAAGCGACTTTTCCCTTCCTCCACTAGAAAGTAGAAGCATTGAGGACAATTCTAGTACCCCAATTGATGTGAAAACCCATAACAACAACAACCACTTCAAGAATAGTTCTTTCAATAACACTGATCATCATCATCATATCCAAACCTCCAACAACGTAGTTGTGGAGGATTTGTTTGGCTTTGGAAATCATGGGCAAGGTGAAAACTTTAGAATGGGAGAATGGGACTTTGAGGGTTTGATGCAAGACATGTCCTATTTTCCTTCCCTTGATTTCCAAGTTTAAGTCAGTGTTTAGATCCACGTTACAAACGTCAAAATCAGCTTAACCATATCTCCCTTCGCGTTAACCTAGTTTGTTAACGCGATTCCAAACAAAACACACATAAACGTGTTAATCCTTCTTTTGAGTTCTAATTCTTCCATTACTCTCTCCCTCTTCAATTCCGCAAACAAGTATATTATTCATAAGGATACTCGTCAAAAAATCAAAAATTAAAAATCTTCTCTTTTTTGAAAAATATGATCTAAATGCATTTCAAAGTGGAGCAATGACATTTTTTTCTTAATTTTTTTTAACGAGGACCTTAAAAATACTTGTTTACACTCTCCTTCCAAAATATAAGCAAACCCTTTTACTTGTTATTTCTTTATCCTGTTGTTTACTCATTGTTTATTCCTTGTTTTCAAAAAAATTGTAACACAAATGCAAATTGTTGTAGCTAGATTTAATTAGAAGTTTACACGTGTATAGGGTGGACCTGGGATATATATTTCTTGCTTTGTTTGTGCCCTAGCTGTTTCCTTGTGAAGTATTTCATGTCATTTTCCGGGAATAGAGGTTGCTGCAATAATGTAAAAGAGAAATGTGAATAGTTATCATTTAGAATGTGAAGAGGAAAATAAAGCTCAGTTGAAATTTTATGTAGTATTGTCTATAGCACAAGGAATAATGTGGAGTTGCAAGTGGTTATTTTAGTGCTAGAAAAAATTACATCTTGCTTACAAGATGTAAACACACCAATAAATATCAACTTTGAAATTCATTCACTTCTCTCTCTATCTCTTTTATTCTGTGTGATTGTTAATATTAATCTCTGTCATTTCAAAACTCTAACAAAATGCACTCATAACACCAGTTCAATGAACTATAAAACAATATTTTCATTGGGTTAATATTTAATTCAATTTAAAAAAAAAAATTGTTCTCGTCATCATAACTAAGATTTTTGTTGTTGTAATTTTATTGCAAGAATTAAGTTAGTTGATTTGAAAGTGTACGCATTTATAGATTAATACATTTTGAAAAACATTCTACAGAGAAAAAAAAAAAAAGATTTAGAAACATACACAAAACCAAATATCTCTTATAGTTGGATTCCTCGTATTTGTTGAGTTGTGCATGTTATTTTTGTATGTAAGAGACCATTTTTTACTATTTCATACAAGGATTATATCATGTTCACGTCACGATGCAATTAGAGAAGTAATATATTCACTAAAAAAGTTTATTAAAAATGTCCATCAAATATACATCTTATCAATAATTAATTTTATTATTAAAGAAAAAGTTGTTGATTGAATGTTTAAAAGAAATAATGATGTCAAAATATTATTTCTCATGCAATTATAATGCGTATAATTTTAGATTTTAACAATAATTTTGGTATTATTTATAGTAATATTATGAATGTTTTATAAAAATCAGATTTATGTTCTTTTTAACCGAGAATCGGTCTGACATTATTTAAAAAAACTTGGTGTCCTTTTAAATCGATAAAAATTATGTATATCTTAAACAATAGTTGTTTCTCCTGTTTTGATTTTTTATTTTTCTCTATGATACCCTAAAAAATAGTTATTTCTCTTATATTTATATTATACTTTCAAAAAATTTAAATTTCATAATTAGTTTTTAAGAAATTTGTAATTATTAATTGACTTATTTTATTTTTAGTATATTATTATTGTTAGGTATCAGACTAGCACAAGAACTCAACTAAAATAGAGAAGAGAAAAATAGAATAGCAATAATGGACAAAAGTAGAAATTTTATAATAGCAAGGAAAGATTACACACCCCTTCTCTAGTCCTAAAATTGACAATACTTTCTAATACTAGAGAAGGAAAGGAATTTTTTTGGGATGTATAGAATGGGGGGTATGTGGTTTCTTATATAACCACTCACCCATACCCCCTTTGAAGTACCCACGGATGTGGGACTTTGTTCTCACAATCTCCCACTTGAAGATTTTGATGAAATTAATCAAATCTTCACACCATGATTATTTTTTCCATCTATGCTCGCTTATGCTTTCAATAGGCCATAACGGGATCGACTTAGTATAAACTTGTCAGCATTTACTCGGTTTTGTCAAGGCATCTCGCTAGGTTATCTTTGGTATGAATCTTCCGCATATCCACACTCCCTTCCTCTACTACTTCTCCGACAAAATGATATTGTACTCCTATGTGTTTTGTTTTGGAATGAAAAGTCGGATTCCTTGCAATGTGCAAGGCACTCGACCGTCACAATACACATTGATCTTCTCGTTGCTTGTGTCCGAGTTCTCCCAATAACCTTTGAATCCAAATTGCTTCCTTGCATGCCTGGGTAGCTGCCATGTACTCCGCCTCTGTAGTAGATAAGGCTACAACAGTCTCAGCTTTAGATAGCCAACTTACCGCTCCACTTGCAAGTGTAAACACATATCCTCGTAGTAGATTTTCTTTTATCAAGATCACCCGCAAAATCTGAATCAACATATCCTCCGACAATAAACTCGATCCTTCAAAACATAATGCAAGCATTAGAGGTTCCTTTAATGTATCTTAGGATTCTTTTCACAAGCATTCCAAGGTTCTCTACCAGGATTTGCCATAAATCGACTAACCGTCCCAACCGCTTGTGCAATATCCGGTCTTGTACAAATCATAGCATACATAAGACTTCCCACCGTCGATGCATACGGCACTCGAGACATTTCCATCCTTTCTGCTTCATTGTTAGGACACATATTTGAGGATAATTTGTAATTGATAGGCAATGGGGTAGAGATTGGCTTACAATCTTGCATGTTGAAGCGCCGCAAGATTTTCTTAAGATAATTCTTTTGAGAGAGCCAAATCTTCCTATCCTTTTTGTCTCGGTGAATTTGCATCCCTAAAATCTTGTTTGCGAGTCCCAAGTCCTTCATATCAAATTCCCTAGCCAACTGTGCCTTCAATTCTTGGACTCGATCTTTGTCGGGGCCTACCACCAACATGTCATCCACATACAACAACAAAATGATGAAATCATTATCATCAAACCTCTTGTAATACGTACAATGGTCCGAACTCGATCCGTTGTATCCGAGGCTAATAATGAAGGAATCAAATCTCTTGTACCAACACCTTGGCGCTCGCTTTAAACCGTACAAAGATTTGGTCAACCTACAAACCAAGTTTTCTTTTCCTTGTTCTTCAAAGCCTTCTGGTTGGAGCATATAAATTTCTTCTTCAAGTTCTCCATGAAGAAAAGCAGTCTTTACATCCAATTGTTCAAGATGTAAGTCAAATGCAAGACACATAGCCAACACTACTCCGATAGTGGTAAGTCTAACCACTCGGAGAGAATATCTCATTGAAATCAATGCCTTCCTTTTGAGCATACCCTTTACTACCAAGTCTTGCACGATATCGTTCCACTTGATCATTACCATCACGTTTGATCTTATAAACCCATTTGTTGCCGATGGCTTTTCGACCTTGTGGAAGTGCAACAAGCTCCCATGTCTTGTTTTTGTGTAAGGCTTCTATTTCTTCTTGCATTGCCTGCCATCCACAGAGAAGCATCTCGAACTACTCACGACCTCCCGAAAGGTTGACCGGTTCTCCCTCTTCTGTTAGAAGACAATATGCATCATGACTTGCCATTACATAGTCCGAGTGCCAAGATGGTCTCCTTATCTCGACGTGTTATTCGTCGAACTTCGTGTCATTGGCCTCTTCCTGGTTCTTGCTCCTCATGCTCTGGTTCTCGCTTCTAAAGAATCTTCTTCTCCGGACTTTCCATCTATTTGTACAGTAGTTACATCTTTAGAAGTGCTCGTCATTTACTTGTTCATTTTGCAGTTCATTCTCTCGCAAAAATTACGTCTCTGCCGACAATAACCTTGCGGCGTGGGATCCCACAGGCGATACCCCTTAACTCCGTCAAGCATAGCCCAAGAATATGCATTTTCTGGATTTTGGATCCAACTTTGTTCTTTCTTGGGAGTTGTACATTACGTACACAGTGACATCCAAACACATGTAGAGAAGAGTACTCGCTGGCTTTCCTTTCCACATTTCCATAGGTGTCTTTAAACCAATCACAGTTGATGGAGATCGATTTATCACGTAACAAGCCGTCTTCACCGCTTCGCCCAAAAGGACTTGGCTAATCTTGCTCGTTCGCAAGATAGCTCTAGTCCTCTCTAGGAGAGTTCTATTCATCCGCTCTGCTACACCATTTTGCCGAGGTGTATGAGCAACCGTGAACCGTCTCCTTATACCCTCCCGCTGCGTAATGCCGTAAACTCACCATCTCGTATATTCTCCTCCATTGTCTCGTCCTTAAGCACTTGATCTTCTTTCCAGCTTCAAGCTCCACTTGTGCTTTGAATTCCTTGAAAACCGGAAACACATCTCGACTTTTTCTTGATTGGGTACACCCACAATCTCCTAGAGTAATCATCAATAAATTATACAAAATATTTAGCTCCTCCTAGGGACATTTCCGGTGACTCCCACACATCGAATGTATCAAGTCAAGTATGTGTTTGCTTCTAGTAGTTGACTTTTCAAATTTCAATCTATGTTGTTTGCTTGTCACACAAGTGCTCACGTAAAGGTAAGTTTACCGATGTGAGCCCGGTAAGAGTTTACGTTCCGCAAGGACCTTCAAGCCTCGTTCCGACATATGGCCTAGTCTCGCGATGCCACATTGTCGTTGATTCCTCTTGACTAGCCGATGCAACCGATACATCCGCCTCTTGCAACGTATCTCCTGAAGCATGTATAGGTTTGCAACGAAACTTCTCTCGCTTTCATCACTACTAGAGCACCTTTCACTACTTTCAAGATCCCACCTTCAATATGGGTCTTGCAACCGAGGTCATCCAATTGTCCAATAGACAATAAATTCTTTCTTAAACCCTTCACATGTCGTACCCCTTGAATTGTACGAATAGTCCCATTGTACATCTTCAATTTGACAAGACCGATTCCAAGCAATTTCCAAGGCGTGATCATTACCCATGA